TTTACTTTAACACCACCTATGCTTGCATCTGGTTTATAACAGAAACAAGGTATAAAACTGTCATTTAATTTTATAAAATTTATGTGTGACAGGGTGGTCATAAATTAAAAAATGTGTACTTCTAAGTATACTTATGCTTAATGTACATTTTATAAAGAAAAGTGGACCATTACAAAGAAGAATGGAAATCAACACTTTCTAAAAGGAATTAACAAAATCATCAGCTCAATAGGATGTTAAATTAAAAATAATGCTCTAAATGCACGACAGCAATCTTACACATTGTTGTAAACTACACTAAAAAGAAAAACAATATATATGACTGCTTTTTTAAGCATGAATACTAACATAACCTTAAAATATACTTTTAAACAAACCTCAACACTCAAGCAAGCTTGGGCCTTCAATTCAAACTTATTATTGAAAAAATATATTTAGCACCTCAGCCTCCTACCAATCTATTAAAAATACAAATCAACTCAAGCTGTTGATACAAAATAGTATTTCCACAATGAAACCAGCTTGCTCAGCATCCCTGACAACCTTATATGTGGAATGCAACTAATATCCTGAGAACAGGATTGAAAGCTGTAATAACGGGAGCTCTCAAATATTAATATAATAATTAATAAACTGGTTGCAATTACCACTGACCTAAGTAAATCAAAATAACCCTCTACAACTTTTCTCTTTTAACTTCAGGAACTAAACAATGGTCTTTAACAAACGTGTTATCGCAATGGGAGGGAATTGATAAAAAAAAAAAGAAAAAAGATCATCAATTGATTACAGATGCATTTAGCATCATCCAAACCAATAACAATTACCATCATAAAAGAAAGATGGAGGAAAACCACCTTACCTATTAAAATTCAGAATGTGATTTGGAATAACACAATTAATTAAAAAAATATATATATACATAAATTAAATTCTGGTGGTATCTAGTCAATTTTAGCTATGATCCCACTAGCAATACAGCTACAGCTTTTGTGCTGACAATACCTTAAACCTAAATTACCACAGAACTATGCTCTATTCTCTAAAGCATAGAGCATGAACCCGAAAATATGAAAATAAATAATAAACTGTTAATGTTAATATATGTATTGTACAGGAGCAACAAATATTTATTTGTGAAGGAAATACTATTAAAGCCGAAGACATTTGTCTTGACACTGAACAAAATGTTTATAATTTTAAAATCTATCCTAATAAAAATTTAAAAACAATCCTTGTATATATTAATAAAAAATATGCTTATATAAAACTTATTGTAATTTGGGGCTTGCAGATAATGTTGTAGATACAAGTAATGACTTTAATGGTTGTGTCTGTAATTTTGTTAACATTATAAAATGCTATTTTAATTATTATATTTTAGAATCTAATTATATTCTAAATCGAGATTTACAGCCAACCCCCATTAGTATGAATTTCATACTAGTAAAAGAGACTGTTGCAAGATGAAGACTTGAAACAATTACTAAAACAAGCCCAAGGAAATGGAAAAAACCCTCTGATTACTGTATATCATGACATAGAAGAAATATATCGCAGGATAGAATGAGTGAAAAAGGATGGGGAACACCAATGGTGAGACATCCTTTTTGGATGGTCACCTACAGCTGCCAGAATCTTCAATCAAATGATTCTTCTTGTCACTAGATTATTGATAATAACCATTTTGCTTCTCATTTTAATAATTGTATTGTATACTAAAATTTGAGTAACCATGAAACAATTAGCCCATAAGTTACCTCCATCAATACTGGATGATCCCCACAGTATAAAATCATATCATATTGCAAAACTATAATTTGAATATTGTGTAGTTTGAGTGACTATAGTCACGGGGTGGAAATTGTAAGGTGATAGATAAGGCCACACAAAAGAAGAAAAAGGCTCCTTGATGGTTTCCTGTGTCCCCCACCCTGCCCACCCCACACCTGAGCAGACATTCCCAGAAACCAGTAAAAGGATTAAAACGAAGAAAGGAGTGATATTCAGATAACACCGCCCTTGTGGTTTTTTTGCAGTTAGATCCTATTCCAGACAAAGCAAACCCCATAAGTTGTCACAAATTTGTATTAATAAATGTGTTATTTTGGGAACTGTTACAGTGAGTCCATTTTTAGATGCCGGCAGTTTCATTGACGGCAAAATAACTCATAGGAGAAACCTGCTGAGGGGTTTTTCTACTGCTATTAAGATCAGTCCCTATACATAAAAGGTATCAAATGTCCGTCTCAGCGATTCTGTTAAACTAAGGGTCTTCTTAGGTGAGACGTTAACAGACTGTTTTGGACATTAAAAGGCTTTGATCTCCTGGGGGGGACACTGATAGACAAAAAAATAAATTAATACAGGTTGAACAGAAAATTCATCTTTTCTGCCCCTTTTAATGTGACAGTTAGCAACAAAGAAACCTTTAAAGTCACTTGTTAGGTTATATTAACTATGAGGAGTGAAATATATTTTAAAGTATTATTCAATTGACAATCAAAATTGATTTGTTTTCTAAGGAAGTTAGGTTTATATGACTGCCCTGTCAATTTTCTTTTTCTCTTCCCTGAACTCTTGACCAACATCAGCCTAATTCAGCAGAAGATTCTCAAATGTATCATGTTCCCACAGATTTTGTGCCAATATGAAAACAAACTGAGGAGTGTCAAATCCAAGAAAGTCTGCAATGTAGTAGCAACAAGTCAGCAGAAAGGTCAAAGTGCTGTAGGTCTTCTGCTTTTATAAAGTTGCATTTTGTGCAAGGACTTGTTGATCTACTAAGCACCATGCAAACAGGCATGGATTTGTGGAGAGGCTCAGGGGTCTTCTGCTTATCCTGTGGCACCAGCCAGGGCACCAAGGTGCTCTCATGGTCTGTCCCCTGGTTGGTGCACACACTGGGGCAGTCCCTTCCTCTACTCATACTGCATATTGACACATCTAGGGAGGCTTAGAAGTGCCTTCTGAGAGATATCTTCCTTCAGCATGGTCTCTTACAGAGGTCTCCCCAGGCTTTTTATTTGGGGGGATGGGTGGGGTAGGGTGCTATTTTTCTGTCAGGCAAAAACACTCTCTTAAATTTCTATAGGTCCTACAGAAGCTTGATTTAGTGTCCACTTTGGCAGTCTTTTATGTGGACATGAGAATTTTGGCTCACGTGGGAACACCAGACCAAGTGTTTAATCTTTACAAATTGCAGTTCTAGATTAATGATATTTACAATGCATTCGCGATGAACCTGTGCAATGAGAAGAAATGTCATTGACCTACATCAGCCTCCCATCTATATGTTGTCCAGAACATGAAGGCTATATCCAGTCTTCAGAAATGGTTCTCACTGGCCATCATTCAGGGCTTAAGCTTAAGCTAACCTTGAAGTGTTGGAAGCTGCAAACAAATCTAGATTGAACTGGAAACAGAACGTGCACTTGGAGCTATTAGGTCCGTCTACTTATGTCGAATTATCAGGAATACCAATTCTGTTTAAAGTAGTGTAGAAAGGCGGTGATAGTACTAGAAAGTGATAGTTCTGAAATTCTCATTAATAGAGTTAATAAATAAGGGCCCCAAAGGGCTGATAGCAGGAAACCGAAAATCACAGCCTTCTTCTCCAAAACTGCAAGTGACAGATACATGATAAGAGACTGAGATAAAATCAGGATCTTGGTGGGGAGGAATGCGATTTTCTTTTTCAACTTAATTTTGATTTCCTTTAGAGTGATATGAGAGCCACAAGACAGCGAATCCTTTGGAAAAGGAGATTAGCAAAGTAACACCCTGAAAGAGTCTCAGACTTAATCCATGTTCCATCAGAGATCGCTGCTCCACCAAAGCCATAGCCCGTTAATGATACACTCAACAGCTGCACAAAAACACTGCAAGCCAAAGACTAAGTTCCACACCACTTTATTAATTTAGACACATCTGCAGACATAAATATACATATTTCTTTTTTTATACGGAGCGATACACGAGGCAGTACCGGCTTTTAAATTGGTGACGGTGGCTACTATCCAAAACCTGTGGGACCAGCGGGAGGAGCCATCGGGAGCTGGGGGGCCGTGCCCGCCCCCGGGCCGGGCGGGGCGGCGCTGGCGCCGCGGCGGCCGCCGGCGTTCGGAGCCGTGGCTGAGCTGCTCGGGGAGGCAATAGTGCTGTTTGAGAGCGGGAGAAATCCCCCCCTGCGCAGGCCGAGAGCAGGGAAGTCAGTCACCTGGCGGTGAAGGACAGTACAACAGGGACAGAGGGGGAAATCTCTGCCTCTCTCTCTCCCTTCTCTCTTCTGCAAGAGATCCACCTCCTGTTTTCCTCCCAACTCTTAGCATAACCTTCAAAGAAGACCATCCCTTACAGACTTTCTTTTATATATAATTTTTTTCTTTTTACTATTACTATTACTGAGAGACTAGCTGCAAAACAATTTTTGAGTCTATGCAGGACCTGGGGGATTTTGTTATCTTGCCAGCGAAATTTTTCATCGCTAATGCCTTGCGCTCACAGGGTGCTAAATTAGCTACCAGAGTAGGCATGACGGAGAAAGGCTTTTATCATAGACTGTTCTCCTCAGTTTGAACACATTTGCTTGAAATTTGCTGCATGATGCTGTCCAGGGAAACAGGATTTTTTCTCGGGATGCTGCAATTCGCCGGTTTCTAAGCTTATTGCAGAAGAAAAAAAAAAAAAATCTTTAAACTGAGTGGATTTGGTTTTGTTTTGTTTTTTCTTTTTTTTTTCTGTCTCCTCCTTTCATTGCCAGAGGACGCGAATCTCTTTCACCAGGGAAGGATCACCTGTCGCTTTAATCGTTAAGGGAGTTATTAAAAAAAAAAGTGAAATATTTTATTTATTTATTTATTTGTTTATTTTAACCGGTGGAGGCGTGATCGCGGAGAATGAGACTGAGGGGAGCTGCCAGGGTTTGGAGGACAAGGCTGAGTTTAGGCTGGAAACTGAGAGACTAGATTCCCCGCTTCTCTTTTTTTTTTTTTTTGTCTATAATTTTTTTCTTCTTCTTCTTTTTTTTTTTTTTTTTTTAATTGGCACAACTTCCCTAGTTTCCTCTCCGCTCCGTTCAGTTTCGCTCTATGGACAGATCAGCAAACCTGGAGACAGAGGAACTCAAGGTAGGCGACCCGCCGGGTACCGTCGTTGTGACGGGGGTTGGATCCCCCTCTGCCCTCTCCGCCTCCCGGCCGCGGCCCGGGGGCTGCGCGGGGCGGTGCGGGCGGTGCGCGGGGATCCCGCAGCCCAGGCGGGGAGCGCGGAGACGGGCGCGGCCGCCGCGCGGCGCGGGGAAACGCTGGAAGGCGGCTACCGGAGCCGAGCGCGGCTTCCCCTCCGCCTGCAGGGCCCCTAGCATCGTCATGATAGTGTTAATAATGTGGTGATGATGGTGGTGGTGATGGTGCTGCCCGTGTGCTCTCGGCGTTGCATGAGCGCTGGCGGCAGCGGGGAGGAGGCAGCAGCGGACTTGCGGGTTTCCCGGCAGAAGTTGGCTCCGAAGCCATTCTCGCCTGGGCATCTCCTACCTCTTTCTCCTCCCCTCGCCGTCGGGAGCGAGGGGGAAACCCTTCCCCACCCCCCATCCCCCGCCCCCGGGGCGCCCGAGTCCCCCAGCCGAGCGGAGCGGAGGCAGTGCGGCGGGATGCGGGGCAAGAGGCGTAGGGCCGGCCCCAGCTCCAGGGCCGCTGGAACAATCAAACTTTGCATTAGGACGGTGAGAGCTGTGAGGATTCTGCTCCCCCACCACCACCCCGGCCCAGCTCTGCCTCCCTCCCCACTGAAGGAGCATGCCTGATAGCGCTGAGCATGCTCCTTTGCGGAGATGGAGAGCCTGCCCACACCTGCTGCCAGACGCCCCCGGCCCTGATTTGGCTCAAATCATCATAATAAAAATCTATCTATCTACCTGCAGTAAAGAGGGTGGCTGGCTCAGGGGAGGCAGCGGGCGCACGGGGCGAGCGCAGCGGGGCCAAGCCGGAGGGGCGGGACACAGACACCTCGCCGCGGTGGTGGCGGAGACAGCGCTAAAAAAGCGGTGGCAGAGTAGGGGAAAGGCTATATTGTATCACATGCACAACCATGCTCGGGACACCCCCTCTGGGCACCAGAGCTCTTCTCTGGGAAGGTAAACTGGTGAGCGCTGAGCTGCTGCTGAGGGTTTCCTTCTACAAACCAGAGCAGAAAGTACTTCAGCATACTTGTGTGTAAGACATTAATGATAAACAGATTCACCCCCCCAGTCTTGCTCCGAACTGCTATAAATCCCCCCAGGGAAAACCACCCCAGGACTGTGACACTGTATGAGTATTTAAGGTGACGGAAGCGCCGGACAAGAAAGGCCATAAAACAATTGATTTGCTTGAAAACCGCTGATACTCACAGCGCTTGCAGGGCTGCCACACCGCAAAAGCTTCTTGCCTGAGCTGCCGGGGAGTCCTCTCCCTACTGCCTCAGCCTTCCCAGTATTCAGAGGAGGCAGCTGGTGTGGGGAAGGCAGGAACCGAGTCTTCCTCTTAAGGGGGGGGGAAGTTTTATTGTACCTGATTATTTTTAAAGAGTCCTTAAAGAAAATTTGTTTATGCTACAAGGGGGCAGCACTTCGTATGTATTGTCCTAAAGCCTGAGGCACGTCCCGCTGTGAGCCTGGCATCCAGCGCGGGCTGGGGCAGAGCTATGGGCTGCCAGTAATCCCGTAGTCATCTGCGTTGCCATTAGGACTCATGTTGCAGCGTGTAGAGGCTGAGCGACCTTGAGCAAAGCAGCAGAGCTGAGAAGTAAGCATCGGCACTTTCATCTTCTCCCCCCCCCATAAGTATGAGAAGATGTTCCAAAGGAGACATTTCTGCAGATGCTGTTAGGATCTGAGCAGCTCTCTGGGATCAGCCACTTTGTCACATTGCTTATCCTGTTTTTTACCAGTGTTTTATTCACGTGTGGCTGCTGGGAGAGATCCCAGGCGCCGGCAGGACACCTCCCGGCACCGCCGCGGGAACGGGATCAGGATCGGGAGCGGGACGCGGCCCCGCCGCCGGCAGGGGGTGGTGCGGGCCCAGCCGCCAGCCCGCGGCACCGGGAGCAGTTCCCACGCCAACAGCGCCGGGGGTGCCAAACCGCGGTGCGAGGCGGCAGCACACCTCGCTTCTGCAGTTTGGGGTTTCCCCGCAGGGCGAACCGTCCAGCCTCTCTCCCACCAGCAGCAGTACGAGGTGGAGGACAAAGCTCTTGGGTTTCTAGGAGGTTCCCAGCGGGTGACCTTGCTGTAGTTGGGCACAGTAAAGAACATCTCCAATACTGTTCCAAGTCGTGAAAGCTTTCATCAATTTCTGGGTAGCCTCAGGAGAGCCGAAATCATTTCAGTGCTCCACTGCTTTTCCCCTGGGCCGACACAGCCCTTTGCCAGACCAAAGAGGCAGAGTCAGGGGATACAGATAGCAGGCAGCCAGAGGTCCTGAGGTGTCCCGTGGACCCTGTTCCGCACCACACTGCACGGAGGGCTCATGTCAAGAATGTCAAATATGGTAGCAGAGTGTTGTAACAGAGCTTGCCAAGAATTCTGGAAACAGGTTGAACACTTTGTTTCTTGATATTGGGTTTTCTCCATTATGACAAATGTATGCCAGTAAGCAACAAAAAGAATAGTGACAACTTCCCTACTAATACAAATCAAATGTGCTGTCTCTAATAACATACAATAATGGTTCTGGAAATATATGTGATATATAAAGCTTCCATACATCTCAGATCAGGCATTAAATAGAAATTTGAAATCTATTGCATTGATTGTAATGAATTCTGAATTATATGTGTTGATGTATAATGAATAGATATTTTGAAGGGTGGTTTTCTGAAAAATTGAGCAAGTATCATGTGTGCAACACCTACTAATGAGGTTAGGTGTGCTTCCCCTTACTAGTCCGTGCACGAAAGCCTGACGAAAGAAATCAGTACTGAAAATAGAGACTACTCTTCCAGAGGTTTTGAGCTGTTCTGGTTTTCCTTTGATCTGTCTCATCTTCTGTCTCAGATGCATACAAGAACTTTCCTCTGACTTTTTAACTCAGAAGCCTGTGGGGTTTTTGTTTTAAAGGAGTAGTGCTGAAAACACAAACTGAATAATTCTGTTGTAGTTGCACTGTAGTCTTGGGTTTAGTGTTGTGAAGGACTTTAAGTTACCTAAAGTGTATGTGAGAGTCTATACCTACATTTTGAACATACATGCACATGTATGGTTATGTGAGTATTGTGCATTTTATAGGATTTTTTATTTTGTATATATGTATAAAATATGATGAATTAACTTACTTTGCATTTAGTGTAGTCAAAACTTATGTTGAGGCATGTAATTGCTTGAAATTGTCTGAGCTTGATTTGCAAAGAATAGTTGAGAGGCATTTGTATTTGCTGGACTCTGTTGATTTGTCATTTTCATTGACACTGGATAGATTGTTACAGATTTTGTCCTTCACATTTGCTCAGTCATTTGACAGACAATTATATCATGACTATTTCTCTTACATTTGTTTAGAATCCAGAGTTTGTGTACGGTCTTAGATAGTAGGAAATAGTATTCCTTGTAGTCTGTAAAACACTGATACTTTTCTGGAGGAAAGTTGGTTTGTAATTGAATGTGTCATAACAGTGTGATTATTAATATGATGGAATAAAAAACATTCTGGAAACCATTTATTACTTGAAGACATTGGTTCAGTGAGAATTTTTCGTTACAATCCCAAGATGTTTTTTAATAGTGTTTAAGTGTCTTGAACTTAGCGGTTTGAATATGCAAAAAACTTTAAACACTTTATTTCTGAATCGTCTTGTAAGCATTATCTGAATTTCTTTATTCAGTTCATGAGAGAATATTTATAGTCCGTTTACAGTTTTGCATTTCCTGGTGATATAAAACTACTCACTTAACATCCCCATGAAACTGCTCACAGCTGAGGTTTCTGCGATAATAGTCTTCCAATACAATTTATGTATTTGTGAAATATTTGATAAAAAAATTCAAACAGGGAAACCACAAGAGTTTAAACAATGGTTTAAACAGTAGTTTTATGGTCTTAAACATGTAAATCACTGCACTATTTAACAGGAGAACTAATACCTCAAGGAAGTCTGTAATTTTAAAATTTATTTATTTTTTAAACGAAGGGGCCAGAGATGACTTTTGATGAGACTAGGTGGGTGGGTATATTTCTGTTTTAAGTCAGTCATTCCATAATGGAAAGTATAGTACTCCATAACACTCAACATGCTCTTATGAAAACCCACTTCAATTATTCAAGTCTCTGCTTGGGATGTGGACATCTTAGTGTGGATACTAAGGAATTAGTCTTTTTAATGCAAAACCTCTCCCCTTCTTTTCCCTTCTCTACCTATGTTCACAGTTTACTAGGGTCCTATCAGCAGTACTCAATAAAGACAATTAACCTTTGCATCCACAGTTAGAGAATTCAGCTTTTAAACCATTTTTCATGAAAGGTCAAGCTGAAATGGTTTTAAAGTAATATACATGCAAATTCCTTTTCTCTGTGTTCCTATTGTGGGCTTTTCTTTCAATCTCCCAATGTGTATAAAGACTAGACATAGTCCAGGAGGCTGGAGAAAATTCTGTGTGTAAAATATAGTTGTTCAGCAGACACAGAAAAAAGATCGAGACAGTGGCAGTGCTCTCACTGTACACTTTAGAAATCATTCGTGTACTATCACCGCAGAGAATCAGTATAACCTGTGCTTTTTGACATTGTACATTACAGCTTTGCTAAGTTCAACATTCTTTAAATGGAAAATACAGCAAAATCTGAAGGCTTGATTAAAGAGAAAAAAACAGTTTCTCTTCCTGTTCTTCACGGATTTTTGGATAAATATTGTTGTCTTCCTCTGCCACTGTATTGTGCACTTTACAAAAAAACAGATATAAGGAATTTACATAAAGGTTAGCAACGCATTTTTTTCTTCCTGAAATGGAAGAGGTTAGTGTGTGATGCTACTGAAAGCTGGGTTGTTTGTATAGGTCTGAATGTAAGATTTGGAGACAATGTATAACTCATGCTAGAGCCTTTCAAAGATAAATCACTCTAATGTGAAGACATATTTGTGAGTCCCAGTCACGCTTTCT